CCAAGGCCGACGCCAACCTCCAGCCGCTCCTGCTCCTTGTGACAAGTCAAGTGTGTGCCCGACGGAACCCGCCTCCGGCTCAGAGCGGGGGTGCAACTCCTATGTCAATGTTCTAAAATGTGCAAGAGGGCACATAATGGTTCGGGGTATTTGGGGGGTTCTGGGGGTTCTGGGCGTTCTGACCCTGGAGGCCCCGGCCCTCAGAGCCTCTCCCAAGTCACGGAGCTGAGCTTTGCACACCCGGCGCCTTGAGGTGCCAGGCGTGGTCTGCAGAGGGCAGCATCGCTAAACGGTTGTGAGGCTGGAAGAAGGAGGGGGGCTCTTCCCCCAGCTCTTTGTAGGCGAACCTCCCTCTGGGGCCTTCAGACCTTCTTAACCAGAGCGACAAGCCTCGGTAGCTGCGCGACCTCCGCGGAACCGTGAAAGGCCTCTGTGGCAGGTCCGGGTTGTGGGGCTCACACAGGGTTATTTTTGCTTTTTTTTGTGTGTGGGGGGTTATTTTGTTTTGTTTTGTATTGTTTTGTTGTTTTTGCTTTTTACTAATTTCTGTATTTGCGGAGTCGCAGTTCCCAGCCGCAGGTGGGCGCTCACAGAGGGTTTGGAGCAAGAACGGGGAGGCGAGTCCCAGGTCCTGGGAAGCCCGGGCTGCACCCACAGGACAACCCCCGCGGGCGGGGAGGCTGGTGGGGGGCTCCCTGGGCCCTGAGCCCCGGCTCCCACTGCGCGGGGAGGGCCTGGCACACCTGCCACTTGGAAGGACTCTGGACCGGGGACGCACGTTGGCCCAAATAGGACTTCAGCTATTTACAAGGTCTCTCGGGGACTCCAGGCAACGGTTTTCTGCTGTGTTCCTCCAGTAAAGGTCCTGTCATTTCCTTATTGTCAGTTAATTATTGCCAGACCTTGACTAGATGATAGAGGGCCGAAAATTTGAATTTACAGCCCGGGGTGGGGGCGGGGAGCATGGAGACAAAGAATCCATGATTCGGGTGGAGCCGAGCCCTGTCAGCAGGTGACAGCTTCTCTCAAAGAGGACGCGGGGGAGTCGGGGTTGGAAGAAGGAGGATGACCTGTGCCTCTGCCTCAGAGGCTGTCCGGTCCCCTTTCTGATAAGTGCAGCCTCTCCCCGCGGATGCCTCTCCCCTGGCGGCCTCTCCCCCCCCAGCCTCTCCCCTGGCGGCCCCTCCCCTGGCGGCCTCTCCCCCCGCCCAGCCTCTCCCCTGGCGGCCTCTCCCCCTGGCGGGCTCTCCCCTGGCGGCCTCTTCCCCTGGCGGCCTCTCCCCTGGCAGCCCCTCCCCTGGCGGCCTCTTCCCCTGGCGGCCTCTCCCTTGGCGGCCTCTTCCCCTGGCGGCCTCTCCCCCTCAGCCTCTCCCCTGGCGGCCCCTCCCCTGGCGGCCTCTCCCCCTGGAGGCCCCTCCCCTGGCGGCCTCTTCCCCTGGAGGCCCCTCCCCTGGCGGCCTCTTCCCCTGGAGGCCTCTCCCCTGGTGGCCCCTCCCCTGGCGGCCTCTTCCCCTGGCGGCCTCTCCCCTGGCGGCCCCTCCCCTGGCGGCCTCTCCCCCTGGAGGCCCCTCCCCTGGCGGCCTCTCTTCCCCTGGCGGCCCTCTCCCCTGGCGGCCTCTTCCCCTGGCGGCCTCTCCCCTGGCGGCCTCTTCCCCTGGCGGCCTCTCCCCTGGCGGCCTCTCCCCCTGGAGGCCCCTCCCCTGGCGGCCTCTTCCCCTGGCGGCCTCTCTCCATGGCGGCCTCTCCCCCCCAGCCTCTCCCCTGGCAGCCTCTCCCCTGGCGGCCTCCCCCCCCCAGCCCCTCCCCGCAGCGGCCCCCCTCCCGCCCCAGCTGAAAGGCCTGGGCTTCTCTCTCTGCGGGAAAGCTGCCCTCGGACCAGGGGTCACACGCGGGTGCCGGTTGCGCCCACGAGGACGCGGGAATGTCTGCTGAACTGGACTTGGAATGAAAGGTTGTGCTCCGGGAGGAGGAACTGCAGCTGGAGGGAGGGGAGGGCGTGGGCTCCGCCGCCTGGCTGACCCCCCCCCCCCCGACCCCGGGGCAGGTGTGAGAGGAGACCGTGGCCGCCCTCTGCCCTTCCCCCGGCTGCCCTTCGCCGCCACTGCGCCCCCAAACACGGGCCGGTTACAGGGCACCTGGTGCTTTCGAGGAACTGAAAATTACAAACGAAATATGTAACACGAGCCACAGGCTGCTTCCACCGCCCCCCAGGCCTCTTGATTTTTTTTTTCTGGAATTGGGAGCGTCCCAAAGTACTTAGGTGCGTGTGGTCTGCAGGTGTGGACGTAGATGTGGATGTACGTGGACACGTGTGTATATGCCAGTGCGGTGCACATGCTCGTATTATACACACGTGTGTGAGCACAGACGCTTAAGGATCCACCTGACTGCGAAACTACACGGCCCACCGCGTTGGGAGCCGAATAACCTGCCAGAAAGACCCATCGTCACCACACCAAGGGCAGACTGGTTGATTCCGTGCCCGTATTCAGGCCACATGTCCCCAAGCCAACAAGACAGCTGACAGCTCTCGTGGGGTTGGCCATGTGTAGTGAACACCAGCCCTCCAGGGACAGGCAGATGGTGAAATGAGCCGTGAGGGCAGCGGACTCCATGCATGAAGACACCCTCCCTCTGGTTTGGAACCTACAAGACACAAGTGTCCCCCCCGCCTGGTATCCTGGGCCTGGCGGCGCCCTTCTCCCTGTTCTCAAGGAGACTAGACTATGACGCCCACCCACTGCCAAGTGGCTTATCCAGGCCCTGGCTCGCTCCAGACTAGACCCCCAGCTTCCTGCTTCCAGATGGCAACACCAGGCCCCTGGTATCCAGGGCAACGGGCTGAGTATTTATGTACCAGCCCCCCCCCAACACACACACACACACACAAAATGCATATATTGACATTTTAATCCTTGATGCTGCTGTTAGGAGGAGGTGGGGCCTTTGGGAGATGTCACTTTTCCTATATGGTGGTGAGGGTGAAGCCCTCGTGAACGGGATTCACGGCCCTTATAAAAGAGACCCCAGGAAGCTCATTGCCCTTCCACAGTGTGAGCACAGTGAGAAGAGGGCCATCTGTTAGCTGGGGAGCATGCTCTCACCATCTTGGACCCCTGCACCCCGATCTTGGACTTGCAGCCTCCAGAACTGTGAGCAACGAACTTCTATCATTGAAAACACTCTGGTTGGGCAGCCCGGGTGGCTCAACGGTTTAGCCCACCTTCAGTCCAGGGCGTGATCCTGGGGACCCGGGATCGAGTCCCACGTCCAGCTCCCTGCATGGAGCCTGCTTCTGTCTCTGCCTCTCTCCCCGCCCCCCCCGTGTCTCTCACGAATAAATAAAATCTTTTCAAAAAATAAATAAAATAAAAAAATAATAATAAAACACTCTGGTCTATGATCCAGATCAAGCGGGTGTTTATTAGGTAGGGGCTTCAGGGTCCCAGGAACCAACGCCGTCACTCCAGGACTAAAGAAGATGACCGGGACACCAGGAGTTTGCAGAAAAGCTTATTGTTAACTGGATGACTCAGCCGTAGCCCACCTTGAAAACGGAGGCGTAGCCTGCATGTTCTGGAAGTCAGGAGGGTGCGAGGGAGGAGAGGCAGAGAGAGCGACCACCCATGTTCCAGGAGTTTCCTACCGGCCTAGCTTCATGCCCCGTGAGCAGAGGGTCAGCCCCAGAAGTGCCAGAGGGGTCTCCAGGGGGGACTCCGGAGGTTAAGACCCACATCCTAAGCCTCAGCAGCAGCCAGGGCCTGCCCAGAATGACCTGTGCACCCTCCGCCCCCGGCCCAGAAGCTTCCAGGGGGTCAGACTCAAGGAGGTTTGCTGACCCTGGGTTTCAAGGCTTCAAATTAGTGGAAGAGGGAAAAATGTTGCCCCCAGACACCCTCTCCCCTGAGGAATTAAAACCTAGGAAGGAGCTCCAGAGCGTGCCACGCATAGCAAAGACCTGACACGCCACAGAGCTTCGGGTCAGCCTTTCGGTTCGTGCTTTGTGTTTTTCAGCTGCCTGTGGTTTCTTCAGACCAGATGCTCAAAGGGAGCCTGAATTTCAAAGAAGCTCTTAAGATAAAACTAACTTAATTTTACCACATTTAGGAAAATTAATGTGTGTCTTACACTATTCTCAGAAGGAGACAGAGAAGGGTGTTTCTTAACCCCCCCCCTCCAAATTATAAAGGGATCGAATTCACCAAAGACCAGGAATCTCTCTCTCTTCTCTTCTCTCTTTCCCTCCCTCCCTGTCTCTCTCTCTCTCTCTCTCTCATACACACACACTATATGCTATTTCTGAACTACCTTTTCATATATATACGTATATATGTATAGCGTGTATGTGTATAATATATATTTTTATGTATTTAAATATAATATAATATTTAATTTTTATTTTTAATTATAATTTAATATGATTTAAATAATTATTTTAATTTTAAATTATTTAATATAAGATAACATAAAATATTTAATATAAAATATTATATATAATTATATAATACACATAAAATCTGGAGAGAAAGGGTGCTAATGAGCAGCACCCTCAGTTACTCCGACAGCCCATTTTGCATCATTATCTCCCCTAAACCTCATAGAAAATCATGTGAGGAATCCACAGCTTAGAGAGGTGATGGGCTTGCCAAAGTAATAAGAGCAAGTGGGATCAAACCTAGATGTGCTGAGCCACAAGCTCATGATTTTAACTGACTCTGATACACCAGTTCCCTGGACTGGCTCATTAAGTGTTTGTTGAGGAAATTAAAAAAAAAAAAAACAAAAAAACCTTGAAGAGCTTCAAAAAGAGGAAAAAGACATTGTATCCAGTTGCCGTCAGCCTCTGATAATAAATATCACTGGTAAATGCATGATCTGTGGTTATAGTTAATATATGATATCCATCTGGGTCTTTTTTTTTTTTTTTTAAGATTTTACTTATTTATTCATGAGAGACACAGAGAGAGAGAGAGGCAGAGACACAGGCAGAGGGAGAAGCAGGCTCCATGCAGGGAGCCTGAGGTGGGACTGGATCCTGGGACCCTGAGGTCACGGCCTGAGCCCAAGGCAGATGCTCCACCACCGAGCCCCAGGTGCCCCTCTTTCGGAGGGGGATGCGTTGTCCCTGCCAGTGGGTCCGGCACTGAGTCTCATGAAGGATGTGATCCCCCTTCGGGAAGGCTCTCGCCAGGGCGGATGTATGAAGCAGTTCACCGCTCTGCAAACTTGAAGAGTCTGAGCGTTGGCCAGACCACTGCTGAGGAGCTTCCTCTTTCCTGATGGCCTGGCTGAGAGCCCTCCCTCCGGGGAGCCCAGCAGCCTGGCTTCCTGGCCAGATGTTCCTCCTCCACACCTGTAGACCTTAGGAAACCAAGGGTGACCTCGGTATCTGCGGCCTTGACTTCCTTCCCAACTCTGCCCTTGAGATGTGGAAACTGAAAGAACAGCCACCCCAGGACCATCCACTCAACAAGCAGGTCAGGGAGGGGAACCTCCTCACATTACGGTCAGCAAGTCAGATCCCCTTTCTCCTGCCTCGTGGGAGAACTGTCTCTCAGTTTAAAGAACCAGAAAAACGTATGTTTCTCCTGAGCGTTAGTGTGTGTTTCTCTTCTGGGCACCATGAATCTTGTAGCTCGTAGAATCGCCTTCTTTGCTTTGGATGCTGGGAAACTCAAAGCCAAATATTTTGCACACGTCCAACCCCTTGTACGGCACCTTGGGGCACGCGTTCTCTGTACATGCTCTGCTCTTGTGTTCATCCTATTTCCCTACCCTTGTTTCCCTTTTGCCCTAATCGCTTCATCTCTAAGTGATGTCCTTTATCCCTGTACCAGAGTAGGCCAGCTGCGGTCACAAATGACTCTAGATCCCAACACAGAAGAGGGTGACTCCTCACTTACCTGAGGGCTAATGTGGATGTTACCTGGTGGTTCCCTTCCAAGTGGGGAACACAGGGAACTAAGTTCTTTAGCTCTGCCGTCTTCGCCATGTGGCCCTACGGCGGCTACCAGAGGTAGAAAGATGGGAAGCACATCAGACGCTTAACTCCTTCAGCCTGGAAACGACAACACGCCATTTCCTCTCACGTTCCATTGGCCAGAACCAGTCACCCAGATGCAAAGTGCTGGGAAAGATTGTTCCCCATCAGGCAACCACTCTCCCAAAACAACTCTACCTGGGAGGGAAGACAGCTCCTCGGTGGTCAGCTACCGTCTCTGCCACTTTCCCTAACTTCCCTGTGGAAACGAGAAAACTAAACTAAGTCAGTAGACTTTAGAATAAAAAAAAGGATATCTCTCTTTTCCCTGCCAAAGAGTAGTACTATTCATCAAGAAATAACCACACCGTGAAGACCTGCGATTGGACTCTGCTGGGTGCTAGAGGTGGTGCAAAGCGTGAGCCACAGCTCTCGTCTTCAGGTTGATTGTGAGGTCTCGTGCACACCGTCCACACTTCTGTTCTCATGGCTGGAGGTGCGGCAGCCCTCAAAATCATTCTGTGGGGGAGACATCGCTCCCCCCGGTTGTCTTCGCTGCCCTCACTGAACTCTGTGAAGAAGAGGGTGGGATGCAGCAAGGGGCTAGCTCTGTCTGTGCAATAAAAGAAGGCCCTTCAGTAGCCACCTCTGAGGTGGCCGGGGATGGGGGGGCGGGGGGCGAGGAAGGAGGCAGGGACTCTTCGTTTCTAGTCTTCCCTCTCAGATGGCCTTGGTTAAGGGCTTAGTTTCCTCCAGCCTGGTTTCCTAGTTTGCAAGTGGGAGGTGATATTTGCCTTCCTTGCCTTCAGGATTAATTAGTGGTTGTGTGGCGCTTTGAGCCTACAGATGAAAAGCTTTTATGTGGGCCCAGTGCATCATCATACCACAGTCGTCACCACCACCACCATTACCTTGTGTCCTAAGGATAACGTGCTGGAATTCCCACACAAAGTTTCCGAGAGAGACTCGACTTTTCTAACTTTTTTGACCTCCTCTTCTATGCTTTTTTTTTTTTTTTTAAGGATTAATTCACTTTCCCCCTCTGTGATCCTGTTGTCAAGGACTGAGAAAGTGGGAGCGGACCATAATTTCTCAGAGAACCGGGTCTCACACACCCTAACTTGACGGTGCTTTCCTCCCAAAGCTAGGCATTTCGGCTCTACCCCAAATCCAGATTGTAAGTGATGTCTCAGAAAGGAAGGAAGAGGACATTTGTAGATAAACTCTCTTTAAAAATCTCAGAACCAATAAAATAAAATAAAATAAAAATAAAATAAAATAAAATAAAATAAAATAAAATAAAATAAAATAAATTAAATTAAATTAAAAAAAATAAAAAATAAATAAAAATCTCAGAGCTCCTTAAAAAATTGTTTTTTCTCCCAAAATATCTCATAAATAAATTGACCTTTTCTGCTTGCTACATGACATTGTAAAAAAAAAAAAAAAAGAGAGAGAGAGAGACAGAGAGAGAGAGAGTTATTTCCTTTCGATTCAATACTCCGGGCTGATCCCATATCCTTGGGAGCTTCTTAGTCTCTGAACTCAACAGCAGTTCAAAGTCTGACTTCAGAACTAGTGTCTTTTCCTCGGGAGATGGGGGGGGGGGGCTTTGAGTGACCTTCTCCTACTGAAAATGGGAGCTGGGACCAGAGGTCGTGGGGGTTCCCAAGTGATAGGAGCAGAGCCGAGGGAGTAGGTTCAGGTTATCACAGAAGAACTTTAAGTTTCCCCGGTACGTGGATTTTGTGTTCCAGATCCAAGACCAAGGGTGGTAGACTCAGATGGTGACCTTCCTGTACGGCTCTAGCCCCCGGGCCGAGTTCAACTGGAGCCTTGATACTTGTGGGAAGCCCTTAAAACGGACCCCTTTGCTAAGCCAGCGGAAGCCTCTTCTCTTACTGGTGCAGGTGCCACTTCCTTTCACATGAGCGCACGATTCCAGCCCCAGCTTATCTTCAAGTGAACAATGACACGTTGCACAAGGGGATCCAAGTTTTAATTTAGACTCGTGGTGACTCACATGCTTAGTCAGGCAGCAATATTAATACGAAACATGTTTATGGTTCTTCCTGTGTGCTAGGTATTGTTCTAGTCCCTTTGTATGAAATCATGTAGTCCTCAGATGGCCTTAGGAAGCAACTTCTGCGACACCTTCTACTTTAGAGGTAAGGAAACTGAGGCAGGAAAGGTGTAAATGCCTTATCCAAGGTATCGTGACGGAGGCAGAGCCAGGATGTGAACCTGTGACTACAAGGACACAGGTTCCAGAAGGGCAGAGATTCTTGTCTCTTTAGAGCCCAGAACTACTCTGGGCATAAAGTAAAGTTCTATAAAATATAAAACAAAATATTTAGGTGTTCCAGAAAGAAAAGGCAGACTCAAGGGAAAGGACGAGTTTAAAAAAAAGAAAGAAAGAAAGAAAGAAAGAAAGAAGAAAGAAAGAAAGAAAGAAAAAAGGACGATTTTATCAAGGAAATAATACAAGAATACTTTCCAGACCCGAAGCGCCTCCAGATACAGAAAAATGAAAGCGAAAAGGCCCAACAGGACATGTCACCGTGGAGCTTCAGAATACCGGCAATAAGGAAAAGATCCTGGAAGTTTTTAGAGAAAACTAAGAAACAATGGCACTGGATTTCTCAACAGCACCAAAAGCTAGACGATAGGAGGAAAATGTCTTCGGAAGTTTAAGGGAAACTTTTTTCTAACCTAGGATTCTGTGTCTAGCTAAGCCATCGATCAAATAGGCAGGTAAAATAAAGTCATTTTCGGGCAAGCCACGGCTTTAAATTTTCCCTCCGCCAACTCTTTCTCAGGAGGTTCCTGAAGGACATGCTCTGCCCAAGCAAGAGATGAAATGGCAAAACGGGGAGAGGCAGGGAAGCAGGGGCTCCAGCACAGGGCGTGGGCAGAGGGGAGTGCAGGCCGGCGTGGACTCAGCTCGGCGGCGGATCCAGGCAGCCACCGTCCAGCCTGGAGCAGCAAGACAGGGGGTCTCTGCTCAAAACAACAGCAGCAAAAGTCGTACATATGCACACTCGTGTAAACACCAAATATTGATTTAACCCCAATTTAAGAAATGCCCATACTGGGGGGTGGAGAGTGGAGGGGGAGGCGGAGAGAACTAAAGTGTCCCTTTCTACAGTAAACAAGTCAACAGGTGATACTTATAATAAAAAAATTAATAAACTGCGAGGTGCCTGGGGGGCTCAGTCGGTGAAGCGGCTGACTTGGGCTCAGGTCTTGAGCCCAGAATCCTGGGCTAGAACCCTACATGGGGCTCCCCACAACGTCACTGACAGATGGAGGAGCCTGTGGAAAGGGGAATCAGAGTATAAGAAGCAGGATCTTCACTGATTGTGGTTAAAATACGTCTTGTGGGACGCCTGGGTGGCTCAGTGGTTGAGCATCTGCTCAGGATGCCTGGGATCGAGTCCCACATCGAGTTCCCTGCGTGGAGCCTACTTCTCCCTCTGCCTGTGTCTCTGCCTCTCTCTGTGTCTCTCATGAATAATATATATATATATATATACATATACAATCTTGCAGATTTAACAAAAAATTTTATGACCATGAAATCCTGTGTCTAGGGCCTTAGAAGGGCCAGTGTAAGGGAGGCACGCGGCAGCTGCAGCTTCATTCCCTCTGACTGGTGCTCGGGCAGGACACTGTGCTTCAGGCCTTCGGCCCTGACGTGCCACCTGACGGCTGACAACCTCTGTCCAGAGTGGGGAGGGGAGGAAGCAGGCCTGGAGAGGGGGAGGGGGAGGACTGGCACCTGTCTCCCCAGGGCTGACGGTGGCTTAAGGCATGTGATGTGAGCAAAAGGCAAGGGAAAGAGCATTTCCTGGGAAGTGCCTTCTCTGCCAGCTGGCAGGGGAGGGGTGCGTGTGTGTGTGTGTGTGTGTGTGTGTGTGTGTGGGTGTGTAGGTGTGGGGGGGAAGGGGGAACTGCACCGGGTGTTGAAGGGAGTCAGGAAAGAAAGGAAACCAGTTCAACTCTTCTGGGCTCTCATACTTACGTGTAGGCACCAGACAAGGTCTCTTCTTCACCAAAATCTTTGACCTCACCAGAAGGATCGATGAATTGGTTTCTTACCATTTCTTCTAAAACCAGTCGTCTCTCCCTTATCCGCACGTGTTTTTGCATTCTGTGGATTGTAACCACAAGGGCTTGCGACACACTGTACTTTGGATCTGTCTCTTCCACTATCAGTGACACATGCAAAGGAAGTAGAGCCTGACGTAACTGGTAGGCCCAGCAAAATACGATGAGAAAGATGATTCAAGGCGGAAAGATCACCGCACACTCCATAGCCAACACAGATTATTCTTGAACGTCTGTTTACTTCTGGGTCTTGAGGAAACAAACATTTATAGCGGCCTATCTTGTGCCTCTCGTATGATCTCCGTTTAGGAGGAGGCGTTATTATTCATATTTCACAGATAAGGACACAAGCCCGTAGTGGAGAGGTAACCCAAGGAGGCTGTGCAAGGCAACACACTAAGGGTTCACGAGTCATTTTTTTTTTTTAACCACCCCACACGGATAACTGAAAATCACCCATAGCATCAAGTCCCCCGGATGGCCAGCGTCCACCCGCCCCCCCTTGCAGGGCTTGGTCACACTTAGGGCATCTGCACTGGTGAAGGCGAAGAACCTAGCGCAGCATCGTTCTTGCCCCTTACAGGGCTCCTCGGTGCCTGCTCAGTGATCCAGACACCAGCTGACAGATCTTATTATTTTCCAGATTTGCCATTACCTTTAGATGCAAACTCTAGAGCTGAGAAAGGAGGCTGCCAAACTTCGTTTATAAATACTTTAAACCTCCATTTTCCAACTGTACATTAGTGAGCACGGTAGGTTGATAGTGCTAAGTTGGATGAGTAAAAAATAGAAAGAAAGAAAGAAAGAAAGAAAGAAAGAAAGAAAGAAAGAAAGAAAGAAAGAAAGAAATCCTTTCATTTTTTTGAGCCACTGCGAACGTATAGGGGCATATTGTTCGCACTGTACCCCAGGAAACAGTCAGCCAAACGCTTGCTTCCTGCCAGGTCACGTATCTGACATGAAAGCTGATATTTCTCGCTTGCATGCCTAGTTTCAAAATGAAACCGGAACATTCCTAGCCTTGGGGCAGCTCTGGTAGCCACAGCCAGCCAGAGATCCGATGATCACAGTAAAATAGGTTAAGGAGAATCTCCCAGCAGCTCCACACAAATATGGGGGGGGGGGGTGTATAGACATATACATATTTATTTTATTTTATTTTTAATTTGTTTTCCATGAGGCACAGAAGGAAGAGAACCACAGCTGCAGTGACCGAGTGAGCTGCCTTCTG